GAGCAGGGAGCCCGATGCGGGGCTCGATCCCAGGACTCCGGGATCACGACCTGAGCCGAAGGCAGACGCTCAACGACTGAGCCACCCAGGCGCCCCAAGGGAGGGAGAATCTTAAGCAGACTCCACGCTGAGTGGGAAGCCCAATGTAGGGCTTGATCCCATGACCCGAAGATCATGACCTGAGCTGAAATCAACAGTCAGACACTCAACCGACTGAGCCACCCAGGTATCCTGAGGGTCTTTTTTTTAGCATAAAAAAACTTTTTGAAGAAAAGTTTCGGGATGCCTGGGTGGCTCAGTCAGTTAAGCGTCTGCCTTCGGCTCGGGTCATGATCCCAGGGTCGTGGGATCGAGCCCCGCATCGGGCTCCCTGCTCTGCGGGGAGCCTGCTTCTCCCTCTGCCCCTCACCCCACTCGTGCCCTCTCTCACGCACACGCTCGCTCTAATAAATAAAATCTTTTTTTTTTTTCCTTCTTAAAAGAGATTTATTCACCTGACAGCACAAGCGGGGGAGAGGAGTGGGAGAGGGAGAAGCAGGCTTCCCGCGGAGCAGGGAGCCCCATGTGGGGCTCGATCCCAGGACCCTGGGATCATGACCTGAGCCGAAGGCAGACGCTTAACCATCTGAGCCACCCAGGCGCCCCTAAATAAAACCTTAAGAAAAAAAAATTCTAGGAAAAGACACTATTCTCTGTTGATGACTTTTGTGTTTTCTGTTGCTACTTTGGCTTCTGAAAAGGACTAAGACTTCACACAGGCGTTAACTGTGGGCCCTCTCAATATACAAACTTCTTCAAAATACGTGCTGAGGTGATCTAATCATAATTTGATGTTTTCTTAGCCCGCCTTGTAAATCAAAGAGCAAAAGCTCTGGGCAGAATTCCGGACGCAGAAGGAATGCGCGAGGACCCCCCACCCCAGCGGAAGCCCGCGTCTGGCCAGGGACGGTTCACAGGCGCCAGGACTGCCCGGCAGGGCCGCACACAAGACACACAGGATTAGGTGCCCCCTGACGTGGTCCAACAGGAAGTTCACAGTGTTACCTCGGAATTATTTTTGTAAAAAAGCAAAACGGAACACAAACCAACCCGTCTAGATCTGTCAGTGCACAGGAAATCCAGGGGACAGAAAAACATCTTAAATACCATTAGGACGCAGTCAGGAAAATCCACAGAGACAATTCTGTAGAGAAAACACAGTTTCTTCAAAAAACAAACTGTAAGAAAAACGAAGAGGGAAGAGAAGCCTATAGATTGAAAAAGAACAAGGGGCATCAACGAAACGTTAGGATACAGAACGTGCCGGGGCGCTCGGCTGGCTGTCGCAGGAGCGGGCGACTCGATCTCGGGGTTGTTTGAGCTCCACAGCGGGCGTAGAGGTGACGTTAACAGATACAGAACGCGTCTGCACCTTGATTCAGATAAACCAATGGTAAAGAGCTGAGAGGAAAATTTGGACACTGAAGAGATCTGATACTGTAAAATGCTGTCTTAAGATTGCGATTATGGGGCGCCTGGGTGGCTCAGTTGGTTAAGCGACTGCCTTCGGCTCAGGTCATGATCCTGGAGTCCCGGGATCGAGTCCCGCATCGGGCTCCCTGCTCGGCGGGGGGTCTGCTTCTCCCTCTGACCCTCCTCCCTCTCATGCTCTCTGTCTCTCATTCTCTCTCTCTCTCTCAAATAAATAAAATCTTTAAAAAAAAAAAAAAGATTGTGATTATGGTCCCAAAAGTGCCCCCCATCTCTAGAGACTCAGTGGGTACGCAGACACAAAAACAGGAGTCAAACCAACCCAGTGGGAGGAGGGATCCGGGGGGCATACAGGTAAAACAGAGCTGACCACAGGGCAGCAGCTAGGAGTTGGAGGAGGAGTACACCGGGGTTCATTATACTATTCTCTTTATTTTTCGGTATTTTTGAAAATTTCCATAATAAAATAAGCTTTTTAAAACGAGTTTTGTTTTGATAGCGCTACATTAGCAAACATTTAAAAATTTTCTTTTTGAATGAAGACTTCCCAGCAGAAAAATAGAACTTTCTGATGGACCATTAATTGGCACATTAATTAAATCTTCCAAGTTACCTAGAAACTGACAAAGTAAGATATTTTCTAAAAATATGGCACAAATTGCTGAATGTTATACTTTATCCATGAAAGACCACTAAAAGCTGGAAGTTTAAGTAAAAACAGAGAACTCTGACAAATTTTAACTTTAATTCCAGGTAAGAGTGTGGGCTCTGGAGTCAGCCAAATCGAGGCTTGTATTCCAGTTCGGCCGTTTTCTGTCTACAAGATAAATGTCTTCTGGCTAATGGTAACTTCTGTGAGCCTCAGTTTCCAGATCTTTAAAAGTGGGTGTAACAGAACTTCTTGATCACTACAGCACTTAGTTCAGGGCCTGCCACATAGTAAGTGCGCAGTAAATAAATCAGAACAATTCCACTATCCTATTTCATCAATTCTGAATGTACGTTTTCGTCCTCAAGTCCCTCTGGGAATCAGGATGCCTCTCCTAACCGCTGGCATACCAGGGTTTAACTGGCAGTTTTTCCTTCCTTCATTGTGTGTAAAATAATGGTGTGTACTGCAAATGGAGAGCACCTAAGATTCGATATAAGGATATGGTATCAATCCTGGGAAATCCGTATTCCCAACTTCTGTTTAAAAATTATTACGAACATTATTACGTGATAACCGATTTGAAATTTTAAAAATTTCAAAGTAGGAGCAAAACAGTTCCAACACATCATGAACAGAACAGTTTTGAGACAAATTTTTGTAAAAACTGGTTTATCAATTCCATTTTTGTATAAAACACACGGGAGGACCCTAGCAATCAACACACGAGTGCCGCCACATGGAAAGGTACTTTATCAAACTTTGAGCCTAAGAACGTACAAATGTCTCTTAGCGCGTCTACGGTAATTGTCTATGCTTTTCCATCCGCCTCTTTTAAAAATTCCACATATCCCCATTATTTCTTCTGTCCCAGTTACAGTACAATGACGGGGAGGAAGGGGGTTGGTTAAAACGATGCTCTAAGCGGTTTTCTGCTGTCCCTTCTTTCCAATCAGAGACTTGTGGATGTGCGGGATCACACCTGGAGGGAAACGCACAGAAACACATGAACAACTCAGTGCCTCGACGAAGATCGACCACACAGAAATGCCAGTCACTGAGGCCTTTCACACGCTGACCCTGTGACAGTACCTACAGCAAGGGCTCCCACTCTTGGGGTCCAGGAACCCCACTAAAACTATGCGAAACCAAGAGCACCCACAGCCTTCAGGAGGTTCTCTGAAGGTGATCCCGCAAGGACCGAGAACCACGGCTCACATCTCACCTGCACTCATCCCGACGCATGCCCTGATCTCAGCCCTGACTTCCAAGGGCAGTACCCTGAGCAGTTTCTCAAGATCATTTCTAAGACACAGTTACAGGGTATGGGAAATATTTTAAACACTAGTTTCAAGTATCATGTATGAGCTTTAGCCAAGGAGCTAGCTATAATAAAAGTAGCACTGTATTTGGCTACAAGAAGAAATATGTATTCAGATCAGGATGAACAGAAGAAGCCTTCATTGTAATGGACCCAACACTGAGGGACTTCACGCGCGTGCGTGCGCGCGTGTGCGTGTGTTCTAGCTGACTTCACATACATTGGCGACCGCTGATCTCACATATGTCATCTTACAAAGGCCAGTGACGAGCGAGGCTGAAGAGGTAATCCTACGTACCACCCCCAGCGATGGTCGCCTTGATAAGAGAATCCAACTCTTCATCACCACGGATTGCAAGCTGCAAGTGGCGCGGAGTGATCCGCTTTACCTTGAGGTCCTTGGAAGCGTTGCCCGCCAGCTCCAGCACCTACGAAGCACCCAGAGAGAGCAGGTCAGAGGGTGAAGGGTCTGAGGATCGGCGGAGACGTGCAATTATAGCAACAAAGACCCCTGCAGCATCCATACGCAACAGATACATGAACTGACAACACGGGTCTTTCATGCTTCGGATGCTTTTAGAGGGCTCTCCTTACTTCACTGGGCCCTTTTATATCCACTTGCTGTAGGAACACTAGACACTTGAGCAAGAAACCTGCTGCTACAGAAAGAAGGGCGAGGGAGAACACTATCCCTTCGCCGAGATTCTCAATGTGAACATCTAGGAAAATCATTCTTTTCCTATGTCCCTGTAGTCTATTTTCGCCCAGCCCTTAACGGCTGGGATGTATTTCTTAGTACTCGTAGAAGTTTAAAAACATAATGAAAGTAATTTCTCACTAGAGTTTTTAACATCTCTGAGCCCTATAATCTGCAGGCAGCATGCTTTCTTCTAGAATGGGAATTCTCAACTAAAAGAATTTCCAAGTCCCAGCTGGCCGTAAAACTGCATCTGTAATTTGGTTTTTTTGCCTCCCCAGACTACACCGGCATTATACAACTCCTGAGGGAAGTCCGACAGAAGTAACTCCCCGGAGCCGTGTGGAGACGGAGCGGCGGGAGCCCTGGTGTGCACCGGAAGCCACAGGCACACTTTACAAGCCGCCGGGACCCTACTCCGTTATCCCCCGAGACTCCGGCTGGTCTGGGGGGCGGCCTGGTAGCAGCATCTTTCGAAAGCTCCCCAAGTGATCCTAGTGCAAAGCCAAGGCTGAAAAGTGATTATCCCTGACCTTAGATTCCAGTATATTCTTTACTTCTGCTAATAACTAAACCCCCAAACTTAAGTATCTGGAACATTCTGAGCCAGAAGACTACGCCTCCACACGAGTCAAAGAAGTGTGCCCCTCTTCAAAGCCTGCTGCGAAGCACACGCACATTGGTGTGAGCTGCAGGAGAAAGCGGGGCAGAGGCTCCCCGCTGCCCACACTAAATCCCTGGCCCAGGACCTTACAGAGACGAGACTGTCTGTAGGTCAAGGACTCAGGGAGGTTCACGGAATGGCAGCGGTGACAATACACACATCAAACTTCCATCTTTCAGCCTCGGTCCCAACCACAGCCCTCCTGAGGAAGAACCTTCCTGTTTCCACCAGGTTGGCTATCACCACCACCTGACTTGCCTGCTACTCTAGTTACTTCCCTGGCTTGGGATGTGACTGAAGGAGTTTCGGAGCCTGAGAAGGGGCCGGAATGGAGGCACTGCTGATCCATCACCCAACTATTAAGGATTAATTAACTTACCTTCCGAAATGTCAAACTGACCAAGATACGGCATTTTATGCATACGACCCCACAGAGAACCAAAAGGATCCACTAGGTCTTTTACCAAATTCCTTATCACCATCACATATCTGTGATTTTAAAAAATGTATCATCACACTGGCAAACCCTTACCCCACCCCAAATCTTCACTCACAAGGAGTTTCTGGTCTAACCTCACAAAGATCACACAGCAGTGATACGTACAGTCATGGCTCCCTGTGTTACTAGTGTGGTATTGAGAGTATGGGATGCTCCTTTGCCACATCGCTTAAAAATAGGGATTGCTGACCCTTGTCTGAACAAGAGTACATCAAGGTGCCTTTTGACCCTGGTACTGGGTAACAAGCCAGTACGAGGCATCCAAAAGGGCGTATGTCTTTTTGTTTCGAGCCCCGACTCCATCGGTTCCGGCCCTTCCGAGTGCAGGCCCCTTCCTGACCCCACACACAAGACAGCCCCCCAGCACACCTCCGCAGTGAGGTACTCCAGGATCGCAGCACTGTAGACAGCAGCCGTGGCACCGACCCTTCCGTGGCTCGTAGTGCGAGTCTTCAAATGTCTGTGGATGCGGCCCACGGGAAACTGAAAGACAGACCACCAGGATGGGAAGCACCTGAGAGTCTTAGCCTGTGACCGAAGGCTGAGTAACGGGGGTAACGCAGGAGAGAAGGTAAATTTGGTTGTGCCTATCAGAAGTCAGACCTATCTAGCAACGAACAGTTCCTAGGACCTGTGCATGTCCTAGTAAGGAGCCCCAAATCTTCATGCCACTTACCCTCCGGAGGAGAGAAAAGGTAGAACACCACGAACCAGGAATTCAACCCCAATATGGAGCGTCATAGCCACGGGCAGAGAAACCACGGGGTGCAGCACCCACTGCACGTCCCACGGGGCCTCGTGTCGTGTCAGGATCATTGATCCCTTCACGGAACAGCCTCATGGGACTTCCTCTCCCACCACCTTCCTCAGGCCCCAGCGCCACCCTTCCTTGCTGTTTCAAGAGGTGGTCTGATAGCTAAGAAAGACTAACACCATTTTCTCACCAGGACTCTGAGAGGAGGAACTTTCTCAGCTCATAGGGGTCCTTGTGCCGCACCCCTGAGCCCCTGACCGCCCCCACCCCACCCCCACACTGCTCCCCAGCACCGCGGCAGCTCTACCACCTTCTCACTCGCTCCTTTCATCAGCGCCTCACTCAAAACAACTCCACGTCTGTGGCAACAGCTCCAGTCTGTCTACATATCTCCTTTCCAAAGGCAAGACTGACTGATTTATGTTTAAGTAGGCGCCACGCCCAGCATGGAGCCGACTCGGGGCTTGAACTCACCACCTCGAGCTCAAGAGTCGGACACCTAACCGACTGAGCCACCCAGGCGCCTCTCCAAAGGCAAAATTTAAAAGGAAATCCTGAAACCCTAAATTTCCTGTCACCTGTTTTATTCCAATCCAAACCTGGCTTTTGCCAACCATCATTCTTTTTTTTCCCCTGCTTCATTCTTCGCCTCCTGCTATCTTCTTCTTCTTTTTTTTCTCTTAGCATATATTGCATTATTTGTTTCAGAGGTACAGATCTGAGATTCAACAGTCTTGCACAATTCACAGCGCTTACCAGAGCACATAC